TCTTGTCTTGCTCGCAGCTGAACAGTGGTGGCGCTCTACAATATGTAATTCATTATTTATGATTCGCTTAAATATAGTTGGTATTCCAATGTCGCCTTAAATGCAGTTTCAAGGTTTCCTTTGCTCCACGGTATCGTGCGTAGAGATTATTTTAAAATAACATTGTTTGTGCTCTGATAACCGATAGCGCCGTCTCATAGGTACACTCGCCGTGCGCAACACATGTTATGCCGATGACGTGGTCGTGCTTTTGCCGATATAACAAAATACACCGGCTCCTCCTCCCACGACAGCCAAATTGATATTAATTCTAATGTTGTAAGAAACAATGAAAGGAATTTAAGACAACAGATTACGCTCTTCGCAGTTCACATGATATTAAGCAGGCGACGTCACCATCTATGACGTCTTTCTTAGCTTCGTGCAATGAACCTACGACTATTCGACAACTCGGTAAACTTGCGCCAAATTTCGTAAAACAGCTATGCCAAATATCATGTTTAATTGTTTACATTGTTGATTTCTGGCGGAAATACATAGGTGGTAGGTTGGGTGTCTGTGATCTAAGAACTAGGTACATAACATAGATTTTAGTACCGAAGTGCCTTAAAGTTTCTAAGCCATAGACGATTTATAACTAGATCTTATAAAATAATATCTGTATGTGACTATATAAGTACTAGTACACATTTACACATTTTGAAAATAATAAGCATATAGACTTGGCAGCGGATGCGAAGAAGATAGAAATAGAAAACATTAATCGGGACGCGTAGACAAAGTATTGATCATATAAAGCTTTTATAGGCAAATCCTAGACTAGCCAGACTTCTGCACCATTTGCAAGGCTATTTGTATGCAAAACGTGCGTATATAAATGTCTGCTATGCGTTCTATTTCTGTTCGGAGTACTGTTTACTTTTCTAATTACAAGCCGCGAAATAGACGCCCGTGCTGCTCGCTGTTAAATATATCCCGCCCTATTTTCTACTACAATAATGGATATGGGTCACGGGGTTGCTCATCGCCGGTTGCCATAATCATGTATGCAATAACGATGCAATTATGATTTGTTACCTGAACCCCGATGAGATAACCAAGAAAAGGCACTTCAGTCGACTACTCATTAAGAACATTTTGGATGATTTCACAAGTTATTTTTTTACGGAAAGAAGACGCCATATTAAAATCAGTCTTTATCATAACGAAGACTGACAGCACAGAGAAGTTCATTCATACCTGTTTTGGAGTTAGTTCAATGTGCTTACAATAAATTAATATCGTCAACTAAAACCTTACGCAAGTCCTATGTATTTGCGGAGTTTTCGTAATTACGTATGTAATTTAGTCTGTTGTGTTTACTACGCAGAAAGCTACGTCTGCCAAAAAAGTCACGCATTTTATTCTGTCGTAGGTGTAGCTAGTAATAACTTTCGGTCCACTGCAAAAAAAGGTACTCAATATCGGATTTCTAATTCCGGAACTAGATTCCATCGGTGGTCGTACTTTATAGAGAAGTGTACATACACATTTTTACTACAGCTATCAGTTTACGTCTAGATCCCATTTAATCATTTCCCTTTTATTTATGAAGTTATAAAATAGAAAGAACTAGTTAAAAAGAATTCATTCGAAATTAATTCATTACTTTAAATGGCACTAGACCTACTTACTTCATAACTTGAGAATGAATCGGCCAGATTAATTGCATATTGAGCTTTGACTATACTATTTATTATCTAATCTACGAACAGTCGTTACAATAACCGACTGTTCTAAAACTGATGTTTTATGTGAGTTATCAACTTTTGACCAGATTTAAATTTAATCGCTTACAGCCGCTTTCATTTTTTTTCATTAACGTAATTAAATTACTTGAAATATCTAACGATTTTGGGAAGTCTTTTCAATTACCACAAAGCTATTCAGCAAAAAAATACAAAAGTATTGGTTCCGCTGAGATGAATTTAATTAATGAAATTTGTAACAGTACAGATGCAAAAACTGAATATGTTATGTTATATGTATGTAGTATAAACTTATAGTTCAGCAAGACATGCCGACAGTTATTAATGGGGTTAGCATTGCGTGACGGATATAGGGAGCGAGCAGCGAGCACTGCATAGCCCCGGGCGATGGCGACCACCGCCTGTGGACGGCCGCGGTTTATTGGCTCAAACTGCTAAACAACGGTAGGGTCACCGCCATTACCACCATGTTAACAACCTGAGAAGATATTCTTCACTCACAAAGGTAGCGCGGTCGACGACCGATGTCGGGTCATCTTTGCTCGTTCCTATCATTGCGGGTGTTTTAACAGGCCCCCGATATGGGCCTCTCTTGCCCCATACATGCGCACAGTTATTAGCAATGCGATTGCTAAAATTGCCCCACGTCTGATTACCTGAGCGCATGCGCGAAGTTCGCTCCACTTTGTTTTTGCGTTCAATGTCAGTGTATCGGCTAATTTTATCGCGCTTCGCACACACTACGTAACTATCTTGTTTGACGAGGCCAAATGACGATTTGTTTTGATTTCTCCGCCCAAAACATGTGAACATTTAACAAGACTATTATGGAATTTCAAATTTCTACAGAAAATACCCAATGACGACGATGATGCTTAACATTTGATATCGTAATGTTTTGATGATATCTAATAAAATAACTGAGAAACTAATAACTAATAACACATGAAAAAAAAACTGCTGTAAATAGTAAAAAAGTTGTTTATCTTTTTTCTGAGTCAGTTTTTGTGTCAGAAATATTTCAATGTATCTATCTGAAAAATTGATCTACCGTTAGGTGCCTAGCCTACACGTGGAGTAAGATGAATGGATTTTGTTTTGTTTACTTATGTTGAACTTTGTAATTGCGTATTTAGCTGTTTAGATTAAAGCAGTATTTACCTGTTTGCTGAGCTGTTGCAGCTACTGCCCACGCTTGGTAACTAATCATGAATTGATTTACCTGGTTTAGAAAAATAATAAATGATGTAACACAATAGAATGAAGACACTGATATAATGGAAAAACACTTAATCAAAATAATGAAAAAACCGGTTATTATTTATGTTTGAAGAATAGTGAAGATGTGGTGTAGGATCCACTCGGATTGAGGGTGACATGCGGCTGAGCGAGGTGAACGTGCCGGTATCCGCGTCACGACACGACGAGCAAACGCTTTTCGTCGCTATTTCCGCAACAAGTGTTGTTTTGAAGATAGAGGCCCCAAGCGGGCGAGCGCCAGCGTCATGCCCGCGCGCCGGCCCGTGATTCCATTTCCATATACTTTATCAGCTGATCTTAATAACATGAAATTGGCGAATTTCTCACCAAGATATTTTTAAATAACTATTTCATTCAAAATATTTTTTACAAAAAGACAAGTCGTTTATCACTAATACAATCTTGTCTTGTGCTAGAAATAGATTTTTTATGTAGGTACCTACGTATCTACTTTTAGTATCGATCGTAAACAGTGACCAAATAACCTATTAAACAAATAATTTATACCTACCTATTTCAAAAAATCAAGAATATAGTAACAGTAGCATTGTAATCAAAATCTTTTAAAATGAGTCCGTCAAGGATCATATATTTTCAGGAAATTTTATAGAAATACCGTATTTTGTTCCTTTAGCCTAACTGTATTTGGTTCTAAATATTTAATGTCACTTTTATGTAATATTTTTTTTCTTATAAGTAGAGTGCCTAGTGTTAATAAATAATAATTAAAACATCTGCTTTAAAGCAATAGTATCTGTTTACAAACTGGAAACGATGTAGCTATTAGTGTAAGTAACTACAAGTTCGTTATCATTTGGTAATTCAGACATACAGATTTCCGTACGAAACCGACTGATTTTATAGATAACACTGTATTATCATGCAAATCGACACGTATCTTATCACCAGCATTATGAGAAAAATAACAACATCGCGACCACTTCCCAATTCTGGTCATAATAATTTAGCGTGTTCTCGTTTACATTCCGAATAAAAAAATGTAAAGAAACTGTCGAAATTATTTAATAGACTTTCATGTTTACTGCAAAGAAACAAGATTTAAAATTAATCAAAGGACAGTCTGGGATAGTTTGATGTGCTGGCGCGTGTACTTGTAAGTAATGGGAAGATTTCGTACTTGCGTAGACTTAGACGTCACACAGTGTAAATAAACTTCGTCATGGTAACGTCGCTATCATTGTTGTCTCTCGGAGATTGTACTCATGTTTAGCTTAATTTGTTTAGCCAGACGTGTTAGCGAACCTTTTCCGTATCGGGACCATGGAAAATATTACTACCTAAGTAGGTAAAAAGGTACACTACATACTCTACTTCCAATTCATCAATCATACAAAATAAGTTTTGCTAAAGCTTTGAAAACATCTTCACATATTTAAGTCATGCTATTAATGTCGAAATGTGTCAAATAAATACTGGAGCGTAAATACGCTCCAGTATTCAGTAAGAACATAATATGAGACACTCACATAGTAAAGAAATAAAGAAAATTCTATTTTATAAAAATAAATAATCGCTTATTAGACAATGTTTAATTGTAATTTAGGCAACGCAATCAGTTTATATAAATAAACAAGTTCGTAGTAAAATCATAAAAACATGTTTTTTTTTACATTAAGTATTTGGATATGATCTATGTCATGAAAATATGGAAATTACGATTCTACTATCTACGTGTCATATAAAGAAATTAATAAAATATGACCAATGAGCAAGTTGATTTATTCAACTCGTTCTTATTTGAATTAATAAATAGTATGTAGATATTAGTAGTTTGTAGTATATGTAGTGAGTAGGCACTAGATATTCTTTATGTCTATGCGCAAATGAAAGAACGGGCCAATAAGGAAGGATCGCCATCGTCTAGGTTTAAAGTTTAAAGGTATAGTACTTAGTACACATTCTTAGAATGTTGTCATTTAAATGGTATTGGTATAGTAAAGCCGTAATACTTGTTCAAGAACCGGTTGACAGTTCGCAAGTGGCGAGGACAGAGCGCGGGGTAAGAGGCGGCCAGGCTAGCAATCTGCAGCCGCGTGCATTCCGAACGCATTCCACGGTGCGAACCGAGTATCGGACGGACGATCTAGGTACGGCATTTACCGTCGCTGATTTGAATGCCATAAACTTTATGAATAAACAACACAATTTACGATCGCCATGGAATGTACAAACTCATTACGCTAAGTTCTTAGTGTCGCCCATTAATGTTTTATAGTCTTATTTACCAACCTAACCACGACTTAAATGCATTTCCTGTCCTAACTACGACGTAACTTATGCCTAATGACAAAACAATGGTAAATAGGTAGATGTACGGCTTGTTATAATGTGTGGCTGTCAATTTCAAAACAAAATTCAGCATTCTCTTTCACTCCCGCACATAGCATAGGTTCCGCTGTCATGCGTGTACCTAAACTTGACAAATAAAAATTTTGTACGTTATCTTTTATTATTTAAGAGTTTTTCTCTTACAGAAAAATTGTACACTGCCGTTAAAATCAGAATAACTTTTAAAAAAGCAATTAGGTACCTACCTACGTTATATTTGAATGCAGCCGAATATCTCATTGCGATGGTTGATTAAAAAAATGACGTAATGGAGTCACAAATATCATTGGACCTGGAAAATGTAAAATTTACTTAATAAACTTTGCAAGGAAAATGGAATCCCTAATAATTAATAATTCCACAATAATTTCGGTTAATTTGCCGGTTGCGATAAAAAACGTCTAATCGGCTACTAATTTAAATCGGCGTACACTTAAAAACTAATAAAGCTGAGTTTAAAGTAAGAAAATTATTAGTTAATAGTGCTGATAACAAATCAATTTATTCAGTGAATGGTTATCGATTTCTAAACTAATTACCACGTATGGATTTTATTTTTGGATTTTAATTTGCTAGAATTAAAATGGAATTTAATTTGCTGAAAAAGTGAGCATGCGTCGTGTGCCCTATAAAACTGATTTCCGCGGTTAACACGACATAATTTACGATGAATGACACTATTGATTCAGAATACCTATCCTTTTATAGAAATGACAGGTTATTGTAATGATATGGAAGAAAAGAGGAAAATAATTCTATGCCTATTTAAATATTAATATATTGAATGTTTCTACTGTTAGTAATAAAATTAGGCAAGGCCACGTTCAATACTAGACATTCGAGCATCGCAGAATGCATTAGATGATTGCCGTTATCATAATATACTTACCTACTGTTACAAAAAAATATATTTTTCTACAACTAGAATTTCATCATAGAAAAAATAGGCAAGTACCAGTAGATAACTCGTACTAAAAACAGCAAATGTTTGTTATGCAAAACATACTTTAAAAAACATCGTAAATCAACTCATGCGTCATTTCCAGGTCGTTGACCGCAGCCTTGACGGCCCGCCCTTTCCACGTTCAAATCTTACAGCAACTGAACGATAACATATAGTTGGTACTTGTTATTGCTGCGAATATTGGCTAAAAGATTGGAACGTAGGTACTCGCTATGGTCTTCGATCAAGCGACCGTTAATGAGTCATCCGCAACCGACAGCGGCTGCGACGTAAACAACCGGAGCTCCTCCCCGCGAGGCCACCGAGCGCAAATAAACGTGCCTCACATGGGTGTACCGCCAACTGTTTTGTTTGACGCACCCGAAACATACTCATTTTTTGTTTTTTTCGCGGCCACATTAAGGATGTAATAAAATATAGATAGTAGTAAAACAAATGGGTTTTATGTACCCGTAATTCCGTACCTTGGTACTTCTATTATAAAAAATTGCGATTAATTCGCGTCGATACGTTTTTTTTTCACTCTATTTTGCGCGTTTGCTTAAAATTTCAACGTCAATAGCCACAATCATAAGCAGTAGACCGAATTCTTACAGTTGTCTAAGTTTTATCTAAGCATTAAAAATGACTGTAAAACATAATAATAATATGATACCTAATTAAAATTTGATTTGCTCAACTCATACATACCAAGAATATGTAAATCAAAAGATTTCCATTTTAGTAAAATGAAAAGAAAAATCAATCATTTTTTGTGTTGTTTTGCTGTCATTACACGTTTTAAAAAGTTTAATATTAATATTTCTATAAATATCCGACCATTGCGTGTAAATGTCGTAATATTGTCACGCAGGGGTGAAAGATTGGATTAGGTTGCTATTACCTCGGCGCGCGGTATGCGTAAATAAATAGTGTCTATGTGCTAAACGCTGTCGAGTTCAAAGGCAGGTCACGTGTGGGGTCGGGGCCTGCCAACGCACCACTTTTATTACATTCCCCGAATAAATGCTTGCGACCGAAAGCCTATCCTACTGTTGTACATCATGCGTCGGTACAGTTATTTACAAAAGTGTCTCGGCTGGTTTTTTTAGCTTGCATTATTTCCGGGAATAATGTTTTCTCTTCTAGAATTGTATAGTAAATACTATTATTACACACATATACATGTGTGTACCTAAATTACAACATTTTTGCAAGATGTAACGTAAAGTTACGCCTTTAACACCTTAATTCACTTAAGGTACATTACAATGCTTACCTAATAAACAACATTATAAGAAAATACTGTCCTTTTCCCGATTATTTTTTACGTAACTTGTTCAATGGAAAATATGAAAATTGTAAGTATGGAAAAATTAAATTTAAAACACAGGATAATTTTGCATAGAGTCCATATTGTATACAAGTGTTCTTTCTTTATAGTGTACCAGTCATGCTTTACGATCGTGACCCGAATCTTATGCGGTATTTGTCCTTTCTTATTATCAAATTACCATTACCTACATCTTGTCGTTACCTTGTCTACATTTTAGCGTGCCTTTGAAGCACCTTATGCTATATTCTATTATATGTACTAAATAAAGATAATCAACATTCTTAAAGTAAATGAGGTACTAGAAAGCTATGGTATTTTATTTTTTAAAGGGGGAAAAATCATCGAATTACTGCTCCCGCCTTCCTGACTAAAAACCACCCTGTTCCTTCTCCTGCACGTCGAGCCGGAGCCCCAGTAACCCGTTAGGTTCTCCGCGACTCCGAATCGGCATCGGCCCTGTTGGGCCCCATCTGTGGTGGTCTGATGGCTCTTTGAGGCGCGCGCGGAACGCGACGCGCCGTACGCTCGGGTCTGTTTCTGGTCATACTCGCAACCCATACTCGCCGTCCGCAGGCCCAAAGCTAGATAGAAGTTAGTATTAATAAAGTACTTACACAAAAAGAAAATTTAAAAGCTTTCTTTTGTGTGATGATTTGTTTCGGTTTCGTATTCTCATGCTCATTCACGAGAGAATAGGCTATGATAAACGGCACCTTTAATGGTCAAGAAATAAAACCAAAAACAATATGAATAACATAAAAAATACTAGTAAAAGTATCTTAAGCAGCTTACAAAAACAAATGAATTCCTTTAAAATACATTTTCATACTGCAATAACTTTGACTCGCTGTCAAAAAGTTATCAGATCTCATGTGGAGCCAAATTTCTCATCTTACATACATAGCTGGCCCTGAACGTATAAGTCATAATTTCACACTTCAGTTGCGGGTACAGATGTAGCTTGTAGTGCGCAGTTCGTAGCGGCGAAATACTACAGTCGTAGCTTGTAGCACGTAGTTAGTAGCGTATTTTTCGTAGCGGTGATATACTACGTTCGAAGCTTGTAGCGGTCAGTTCGTAGCGATGATACACTACGCTCTTAGCTTGTAGCGCTCAGTTCGTAGCGCGTACTTCGTAGCGATGATACACTACGTTCGTAGCTTGTAGCGCTCAGTTCGTAGCGCGTACTTCGTAGCGATGATACACTACGCTCGTAACTTGTAGCGCTCAGTTCGTAGCGATCATACACTACGCTCGTAGCCTGTGCCGCTCAGTTCGTAGCGCGTAGTTCGTAGCGATGATACACTACGCTCGTAGCCTGTGCCGCTCAGTTCGTAGCGGTGATGTACTACGGTCGTAACTTATAGCGAGCAGTTCGTAGCAGCGATATACATATGACTGTCGTAACTTTTGTAACGTATAGTTTTTAGCAATGATATACTACGGGCGTGAGTTATATCACGTAGTACGTAGCATGTGGTTCGTAGGACGTAGTAAGTAGCGCGTGTCACAGTTTTCCCGCTACTTAAGTCTATTACTTACAAACCACGAATTCAACAGATCTGTTGAGTTGGCCGCACAGAGAGTTTACAAACTCTACGCCTTAGCTTTATCTTTAGGAATTCGCGGCTATGATACACACTCCGAACAGAATTATATGAATTGCGTGCTACGAGCTAAGGCTGTAGTATTTTTTATTTCTCCGTAACTTATGGCTAGCTGTACTACCCTGGGCATGTAAGATTAGAAATTGGGTTGTACATGAGATCTAATTACTTTATGACAGTGCGAGCTAGTAGTAGTAGTTTATGTTATGTTTAGTACTGTTTAGCAATAGGCTCATTTCATATTAAAATGATACTAAAACTGGCGAAAACTGGGTGTGCTGTGTTGTGTCTAACTCAGGGACAAAAAGGCGAAGTATTATTTTTATCATTTTATGGTTTATGATAGGTTAAATTACTTAATTACACCGTCACAAATAGCAGGAAAATAAAGTTTTTGTTCGTAAATAATGCAGTGTTTTTGACAATTGTTTTTCTACCACAATAATAATATTGGTATAGGATGTCCTTATACTATTGGATTATTCCGTCACACACTGATATAGAAGACGATGCGCAGTTTGTTAACTTATCGTTAGCTATGGTCTGTTCCTATGTGTTTCTACCACTTGTCTCTGTCAGTTCAGTAATAAGAGAACTTGTTCGCTGGATGTATATCTAGCCACCAGCTATAAATACATGGAATGAAAAAGCTCCTTATTCTCTCTTGAAGGAATATTGTAGCCTTAAACTTAATCTAGTGAACAAGGTAATTTCACTGTTTAGATTAAATACATTCCATATTCTTAAATGTACTGCAGGAAAAGGAATGTGTTTAGTACGTTTACGAGAAAATAGGCAATCCCTTACAATGCCTACCACGCAATGAAGGTGCAGCAACTTTGAATGAGCGTGTAGTACCCGTACACTTCCATA